AGGAGCGAAATGAGAAGCAATTGAATGAAGGCGAGGCGGCGCAGATCGACACCAGCCAGGGCTCGTCCACGCTCGAGCACTTCTTCCAGGAGACCCCCATCACGCTGGCAGACATTCGATCTACGCTCATTCGCTTGGAGGAGACCATCATCTTCGCTCTCATCGAACGCGCCCAATTCCGCGCCAATCCGGCCGTCTACCGCAAGGATGAGGAAACGGAAGTGCGCCAAAAGGGCAAGAGCTTCCTCGACGTCTTCTTTGGGCAGATCGAGAAGGCCCATTCGCTGATGCGACGCTACACGAGCCCAGACGAGCATCCGTTCTACCCCGAGGAGCTCGAGCGGCCGATCCTGCCCCTACTCAACTACTCGGCCATCATTCGCCCCAACAACATCAATCTCAACCCCAAGGCAGGCACCCTCTTCCCCTCTCTTTCTCTTTCAGTCTGCACCATGCACCACGCTGCGCGATCGTGGGGATGGTTAGTATGGCTCCATGGTCGGCGAACCGCTGACTCCTCCTCTCTTTTCGACGCACCGCACAGATCATGCGGCTGTACCTGGAGCGCATCGTGCCGGTGATCTGCGAAGCGGGCAACGACAATCGCGAATACGGCAGCTCCGCCAACGCGGACATCAACGCGCTTCAAGGTGCTCTCACTCTCCTGCTCGCTCGCAGAGTTTTTCTCATCTTGCATGACCTGACGTTGGTGTGTGTCGCATGTCGTGTCGTGTCGTGTGGTACACGTTATGCTCGTGCGGCAGCCATATCGAAGCGCATCCACTACGGCAAGTTCGTGGCCGAGATCAAGTTTCAGCAGGAGAAGGAGAAGTACTCGACGCTCATCCGCGAGAAGGACACCGACGGCATCATGAACCTGCTCACCCACCCGGAGGTCGAGAAGAAGGTGCTGGCTCGAGTTCGAGCCAAGAGTTCCGCCTACGGCCGCGACATCAGCGAAGACACGGCGTCGGCCGACGCCTCCGCCGACAGGTACAAGGTGCGCACCGGCTTTCATTCATTCATTGCAGTCATCGTGACATCGGTAGTCCGCTGACTCTTTGTTTTCTTTGTCTTCTTCGTTGTCGTCGTCGTCTTCTTCTTCATTGACTCTTGGCAGGTGGATCCTGACGCGATCATGGGCATCTACAGAGACTACGTGATTCCCCTCACCAAGGAGGTCGAGGTCGACTATCTGCTGCAGCGACTCAGGTCAGCCCCACCCACCACGGACGCTCTGGATGTGGCGTGGGCTTGTTGGCTAATCACATGTTGCTCCCTCGCTCAACGCAGCCCCGTGAGCGTGGCGTTCCTGGGTCCCAAGGCCAGCTACAGCCATCAGGCCGCCCTTAAGTACTTCAAGGAGGGAACGCCCGAGCTGCTCGAATGCGCCACCTTCTCCGAGGTGCTCCCTCATGCCCGCTCTCCTTTTCCTTTCTTTTCTTTTCTTCTTTCTTTTCTTGGTGGCTGACGTGTCTCTCTTTCGCTCTTTCGTTCGGCTGGTATGACAGGTGTTCCAATCGGTGCTCTCCAACAAGACCAGCTTCGGCATCGTACCGATCGAAAACTCCACCACCGGTCGCGTGCACCAGGCGTTGGCCAACTTTTTCGACACGAGCGCCAAGGTGTGCGGCGAGACCTACCTGAAGGTCTCCCACGCGTTCCTGCTGCACGAAAAGGCGCTGGCGGCCTACGAGGCGGCCGAGCGGGACGGCAAGGGCGCGCAGAAGGTGGGCCGGCTCTACAGCCACCCGCAGGTGTTCGACCAGTCGCGCAAGTGGATCGAGGAGACCTTCCCCGGCGCCACTTGCGTGTCTGTCTCGTCATCATCGCAGGCTGCGAAGCTCGTCAGCGGTACTGGAGCCCCCCCCCCACCACATGATTACGCGCTCTCGCGTGCGTGCGTGCGGGTGCTGACGTGACCACGTCCGCGCGACGCCGTGCACTTCCAGAGGAAGCGGGGGAGGAGACGGACGGCAAGGTCAGCGGAGCGTTGGGCAGTTCGCTCCTCGCCGGCGAGTACGGCCTCAAGATCGTGCGCAAGGTTCTCCCCTCTCTCCCTATCCTGCTCGCTCCGCTCTTTCTTGTCTCATGACACACACGCGACACGCCACACGCGACACACAGGACATTCAAGACGACCCAAACAACACGACTCGCTTCCTGGTGATCGCCAAGACATTCACCGGACCATCAGGTGCGCGCTGGCACCTTTCATCTTTTGGTTTGGATGAATACTCACCCCCCACCCCCACCCCCACCCCAATCATTCGGTGGACGTGTAGGGAAGGACAAAACACTCCTCACCTTCGGCCTGAAGCACATGGTGGGTTCCCTTTCGTCCGCGCTCACCATCTTCTCGAAGCATGGGATCAACATGAGGTGCGCGCTTCTCTTCTTCGCTCGATCTGTACCAAGCGCGACAGTTCTCACATGTTGCACGGTGTGCGCTGCACATACAACAGCGGGATCGAGTCGTACCCCAACAAGGCCGAGATCTGGTCGTACAACTTCCTCGTGGAGCTCGAGGGCCACGTGGAGGACAAGAACGTGAAGGAGGCCCTCGACGAACTGCGCGAACTGGCCACCTTCATCAACATCATCGGCTCCTTTCCCGAGGCCTACCCATGAATTCTCCTCCCACCCTCAGTTGGGGTTGCAAGAAGAGTTGATCACAGTTGTCGTCGTTCATTGATGTTGCGGTCACATTGTGGTCGTCTGCGGGTGTGGCGTTCGGGCGGGCAGCATCCGTCGGTAGGCCTGTGGCTGGGGCATCTGCGGCTGCGGGGGAAGCAGCCGAATCTCTTGATGTGGAGTTGGTGTGGGCTGGGGCACTCGGATGGGTACCGGCGCACTAGCAGGAGGCGTGGCGAAGGAAGCTAACGACGACTGGAGAGCCACGCCACCCGTGGCGGTTGAAGCCATGGCGGCCGCTGGTGGTCCGGCCAGCGTCGTAGAGGTACTCCCGTTGTTCGGAAAGGGAGCAGAGCGCAGCACGGAGGAGGCAGAGAGCGGGAGTAGGGGAATGCTGGGTGGAGCTACAGGGCCGCGCTGTCGCAGAAGCTGCAGCTGATGTTTCGCCAGCGCGTCTGCTGTGATGCCAATCGAGTTAGAAGAGTGCATGCGAAATCAAAGGGCCACTTGAGGCGAACGTACCAGAGATGGGGTCCAGGAGGGAATGGGCTGAGAGGAGCGAGGGGGACGGCCTTGCCCGAGAGGTTAGCAACTGATTGCAACGGGGCTACCAGAGCTGGAGCTGGCCCGGTGCTGGAGATAGGCAGTATTTGGCCTGGTGCAGGCGGTCGGCTGGTAGGATTGGTGGGCGGGCAGTTCGATCTGGAGGAGCTGATGCTGCTGGGATTGGCACCCTGTTGCACACCGTGCTGAACGGCTGGGGCTGGTCTTTCAGCCTGGGCGGGGTTGGAGGCCGGAGAAGCAGCGGCTTCTTGTTCGGTTTTGGTCTTCTTCGCCGGGGAGGCCGGGGAGCTTGGTTGTTCTGGGCTGTCCCGCTTGAGCTTAGCCCTGTGGAGGAACAATCACCAGTTAGAAGCTTGCCAATTCAATGGCGGTGCGTAGAGTGAGACCTCTTATTCTGGAACCAGATCTGGACTCGACGTGGGGTCATGCCCAGCTGTCGCGCGAGCTGCTGGCGAAGTGCCTGATTGGGCATCGGATCGCTCTTGAATGTGGTCTCGAGAATGTCGAGCTCTTCGGGCGAAGTCCTCCTCCTCTTCTTGCTCTGCGCCGCGAAGTAGGCCGCCGTGGCATCGACTTTGGCCGCTTCTTGTAGCGCCTGCTGCTGCTGCTGCTTGGCGCTTCTGTTGCTGCTGCTTTTGGCTGAGCCCCACCAAGATGCCCGCCAGGTCATCCAAGTCACTCGCCGGAGGCCTGAGCGAATCCAGCAAGAGCAAGTGGGTTAGCAACTCCCCCAAATACAGAGCGCTTTTCCTTTTTTTGGCGTAACCAAGGCGCAAGGTGGAGTAAATGAAGTGGGTGGAGAAATGAAGTGGAAGGGACCCGGGAGCGACGGTGCAGCATACACTGAAGGAGAAGTGCGTACCCTTCTTCGATGGACTTGGTTGTTGTTTTACTTTCGCTTGCGCCTCTTCTCTTCCTGTCATCTTCCTTATTCTTCACTACGTCGAAATTGTTCTTCCCCTTTCGGCCGCTACGTTCGGGGCTTTGCCTCTTCCTCGATGTAGTTGACTCCTTCGAGGGGAAGGCGATAGGTGCTTTGGGAGGTTCACTTGTGTTACTGCTCGGGGAGGGTGAGGGTGCAGCAGAAGATGTTGTAGAAGAAGATGATGTCGACTTCGAGTGGCTGATGGAGCTGTCCTTCCTCCACGGTAGGTCAAACGTGTAGCGGGCCTCGAGTAGAGGCGTTAGGTCATTGTAGACGCCGAAGTTCATGTCGCCTGTACCCTCTTGATTTCTTCTTTTCCAAGTAGTCGCAGGAGTCTGCTTCTTGAGGCGGTGTGAGCTGGGATTAGCCAACGCTGCAAAAAGGGCACCTACAGCGAGGTGCGACTAGGTGAATAGAGAGATATGAATAAGGGCTGCTCTTGAGCTGCCCCCACCAAAACGTAATATCCGCGTTATTGATTTTTAATTTAATTGGCTTCTTTTGTAAAGGGACACGCGCTTTTCTTATCGCCTGCCCATATTTGTTGTTTTTATCATTTGTGCATAATAATTCATAAATATTGTTACACTGCAGGTGAAAGGCGATCAACAGTAGGAGATCCTTGTCATTTATTTCTCTCTCTTTTTGTGTGTTTTTCTGGTTCTGGTGTGGGAGATGGTTCAGGGGGTGTCATCCGATCGGCCGCCCATGTCCTCGAGGTACCTGCGCAGTCTCGAGTTCTCCTGTTTGAAGTCATCGTTCTCCAGCCTGAGCTGATTGTTCTCCTTCTCGATGGTGTCGTTCTCGTCTCGCAACAGCCGGTTCTCCCTCTGCAGCTCCTCTTGCTCGTGCGTCAGCTCGCCCTTTCGCTTCTTGTTGGGCGTCTCTGAGTCCTTGTCGTCCAGGGCCACGTGAAGGTACGGGCAGCTCTTGCCACGCGCACAACTGTCCGTTGAAGCCACCACCACAGGAGGAAGAGGGGAAGAGGAAGTGTCAAATCTCACGTGTGTTGTGAGTCAATTGAGGAGTTAGTGGCTCTACGCACTTCTTTCTGTACAAGAAGTCGCGGCAGACTTCCGGTCCAGCGCGTCCATTCTGCAGTGTCACAGTACATGCGCATGTGAGTGCTGCTCAAGGGACCCACCAAGCAAGCAGCGTAAGACCACTCAATGAGAAAGCAGTGTACCTT